CACAGCACCCTTGCTGGGTTTGCATAACGCACAGTGGATTTGGCAGGCATAGAAAATGGAAGGGGCCAAGCCCAGCTCTGGGGTTGCCATACAAAGGCTAATAGGGCCATACCAGGGAAAACTTGGCTGGCCAGCACATGCGGCATAGGCTGGGGAGTATGCGTGCACCCGCATTTTCTACAGAGAGCTCTAAACATGTGGGGACTTAAGGGAGGAGTTATGAGGGCATTAAGCAGTTTCAATTCACCACCTCATAAATCTTGCTCAGACACTGGAATGGAGATTCTTCCAGGTACAGGGAAAGCTTCCCATTTAATCAAAGCTCCCATCCTTCCTGCTCTTTCACTGCTGAAAGCAATGCTATTGACACAAGAGCCAGAGGGGAGAAGCAAGACACGGCGCATGGGACAAGGGCAGGGGAGATGCCATCGTGGTGCAGGGGAGGGCAGACACAGTGGGGACTGAATCTCAGAACTCCAAAGAGAAATTCCTGAGTTGTCATTGCTGAAGCCAATGCCCACAGGTGTGGGCTGTAACTGGTCAGATCCTCTGCAGTAGGACGTGTGCCTGTCTCCAACACACATGCCTGCACTCGTAAGCTAAGGGCCCTGCCTGTAAATCAGGGGTGGTCTAAGCACTCCACCGTAAGCAGTTCACGGGCCACAAGTAGGTGCCTTGGGCTTAATGGACTATAGTGACTAAATGAAAGAAGTCTAGGGAGAGTCTTACAGCATTTGCATTGTAGGGGGGTGGGGGGCACAGTCCACTGGGAGACCAGGCGCCCCCTGTGCCAGGCACTGCCCAAACCCTGACAAGGACCCAGCTCCCTGTCCCAAAGAAGTGACACTATCACATGAATCACACAGCACCAGAGGGGCCTCTCTCAGGGCAGCTGCTGGAAACCTGTCAACAAAACAGTTCAGCCCCTAGCTTGTTCAAGGCATATCATCTTGAGACCCTGCCCACCTACTGGGAGGGTTCTCAGGACCAGGGTGACATTTCTAATCAAAACCAGAGAGCCCAGCCCAATCTCAGCTTGAGCCTTATTAATGGCCACCTCTCCTGTGCCCTGGGTCAGAGACCCATGCCCAGCACCCCAGAGTCAGCACCCTGATCTCCCCCACTGACCTCAAGCCTGCGCCTTTCTCAGTAGAGGGACCTGCTTCAGATGTCTCTGCCTGGGAGCATGAGAGAGGGCAACCAGTGCCCTGTGGACATGAGACTGACCCAAGCCTCCTGCCAAGTCACAAAGGCCGAGCAGGCTCCCCAGCAGTCTAGAACAGCTGTGATGCCAGCCTGAGAGTGGATGCCCAGCACTTCACAGCCCTTCCTCAAGACAGGAGAGAAATGATCCCTTCAGAGAAGTGAAGGCTTCAAACAGGACATGGTCAGAAGCTGTTAGCATCAGTGTCACAGCTAACTCAGAGTCCAAGGGCTTACACTCAGATTAAAAACCCACAGGCCCCTGCAGATCCAGCACCAGCCTGTGATCTCTGGGCTGCCAACCCGCAGCTTTCCCAGGGACTGCACTGGGAGAGGAAGGGGCCAAGACGCCAGCCAGGAAGACCTGCCAGGTCAAGTTACTGTATGGCAGATGCTCCTTGCTTACAGGCATTGCAAAGCAACAAGGATATGTTATAGGCAACAGGGCAAGAGACCTGGAACAGGGGTCATACTGTGAGAACTGGAAGAGAAAGAGGCACCAGGTGCTTGGGTCCAGAGAGGTTTTGGAACAGCCCATGCAGCACTGCACCAGGGGCCTTGCTTGAGACAGGGGAGGTAGCCTTGCGGGTAAGACACCAGGCTGGGTCTCAAGAGACCTCAGTTCAGCTTCTGAGTCTGCCTCTACCCCCCCAGGAAAGCCCCTGCATTGTTTGGGGTCTCAGCTCCCCCCCTATAGAATGGGAATCCCAGTCCCACCTGCCAGCTGCAGACTTCGCTCCTCTACCAAGAAAGAGGACAGCTCTTTGCTGTAGTTCAAACACCCACACTGCGGGCAGTGCACACTGACAAGCAGCTGTGTAGCGAGCATGGGGTATCCACAGCCACAGGCTGACCACCACCATTCCTCCCCTGTCCTCCCACCTGTCCGCACAACCCCGCCACCCCCCCCGGGTCAGGTGAGAAAGACAGAGAGAGAGACATCCTCTTATGTACTCAACCAGTGCCAGGCACAGTGAATTAGGGCACCATCGTGATAGAGGATAATCCCCTTGTGTCTCAGGGAGATTGCTACAGTGATTATTGTCTATCCTTTGTACTGCAGCAGCCCCAGCCCAGACCCCACTGTACTAGGCACTGTACACAAATGCACACACGCATGACAGGACTGTCTGTGCCACAGAGCCAAAACTCTACCCCATCCTGTTTTCTGCTTCAACAACTGGGGGATTTGCAAGCCAAAACACCCAAAAGGAGCCTGGTGTTTGAGGAGGCAGGTGCCCAGTGCCTTCTGAAATGCAGCCACCTCCTGCTATCTGAATGCACACTCACTCTGTATGCCCTGAGACCCGTGTTCCCTGGACAGCCCCAAAGCAGCAGCTAAAGGGACATCCCAGCAAGCTGCTGCAATCTGAGGCAAAAGCATATGCAGGCTGGGCTGCACAATGTCAGGCAGGTCCAGAATGCTGTGGCAGATTCAGAGGTAGTGCAGGATGCTAAACTATAGCGAGGGGCAGAAGCAACACAGAATCTCTTTCCCTGCCAACAGACAGCAGGTCCGTCAGCAGAGGGGCACTTGAGGACAGGCACAAGCTCCCAGTCAGCCCATCTTCCCGTGTTCAATTAGCATCTCCATGCCAGCTGCGCATCCTCCTGCAAATGGCAAGAAATGCTGCCAGCAGGAACACTAGAACCTTGGCTGATGGACCTGGGGGGGCTGACGTGCCTGACCTGCATCAAGGCAGCAGAGAGGTCTTTGTCTAGTGCTTTCCCTTGCTCCAGGTGGGGGCTGCTGTGTTTTCAGGGCATAAAAGCAGAGACCAGCAACGGGACTGCACCGGAAGGCATGCTTCACCAAGAAATCCCTCTCCAGCTAAGCCCCACCGCATGTTAATACGCTGAGTTCTGCACACTGGTGTCCCAGGGTCCCAGTCACTGCTGCAGATGGGGTAGAGATGGCACACACTAATAAGGCTCCCAGAGGTATAAACAAAAGTTTGCATCACCTCAGCTCTGCCCACAGAAACATCTTGATCAACTGGGCAGCAGCAATGTCACGCTTACCTACTATCATGAGGCTCCCAAAAACACAAAACTCAAACAGCAGGACGACAGAACAAAGCAGCATACAGTGCCCTAGACTTACCAGCCCAGAGGCAACCTGCTTCTTGGGAATCCCAGGAGGTCGGCTATTTCTGCTACTACCACAGCAGGGCCTCCTGGCCAGAAAAGGAAAAGGGCTGGTCAGGTGGCATTATTGATGGAAGCACTAAGCACTTATGTGCTTTTGCTGTGGAGGCAGCAATGCAGGACACTTCTCTCCACGTATATCATGGGTCTGGATGAGCCCAATTAGGCACGCTCATGGGAAGAGTGAGAGCAGCTCAGACCAACATCCCATTTAGCCCTGTCACCAGTCCCCAACACAACGAGCAAGTCTCACAGTGGACCATTAGGAAAAATTGTGCTCACGAGGGTAAGATTTTCCCAGTTTCCACTCAGCAGCTGTTTCATGCCTGTGCCCACAGAAGCTGCTGACCGTGGGATGGCACTTCATCCAGGTCAGGGACTATGCACAGCATGTTTAACATAGAGGGAACACACCCGGGCAAACAAGCAATACCTAGCTAATGAGAACAGCCAGTCTGTGCCAAATGCTTTCTGGAATCTCACCCTGGGCCGTAACTTCCAGCAGAAGCCCCACAGCTCTCGCATTCTTTACCAGTAAAACCTGTCACCTTCTTCCTCCTGTACAAAACAGGCTGAAATAACAGCCACTGCCCTACGTTCTCCCCATCCCACCTCCTACAACTGAGCAGCCCTGATCTATTCAGCTTCTTCCCACCCGTAAATCCTTCCAGGCTTCTCATGCATCGCATAGTCTATATCCTGACTGCTGTTGCACCTTTTGGAGGGAGGACAGGGAGATGAACCAAATACTGGGACCTGTGTAGCTCAGACTTAAGCCTGTTACAATTGGGGAAACAAAAACCCACAGCTTAGGCTGCTTCAGAAAATATTTAGCTGCCAACACTTTTGCTATTGCACCACACTTCACTACTGATATGACATCTCCACTTCCCTTTATTTACCTTTGATCCTGCTTATAAGATACTGCACAGTAATTTGAGGTAATTTTCCTTTTCTAAGTTCTCACCTGCTTGTCACCCCATAGCTAGATTTTTTTTTAAAATCAATGTGTTGCTATGGAAACCAACTTTCATCTGAAGCACAAGAGCCTTCTATTTCCCCAACCCGGCTAGCAAGGGAAAGAGCAGAAGTAGAAATGCAAGAAATATTCAGATGCCTCTCGCTTTAGGTGATCACCTTAATTGGAGGGTGCTTTCGGGAGATGTCGTCTTTCCCCATTTCCAAACAAGACGGGAGTTCTATTTTTTTTTAAAGCACACAGAGGAGCCATTCACTGTTAAGGCTGGTCTGACATCATGAAGGAAACCTCTGTAGATTAGCAGAACAGAAGCAGGAAAACAGTTACTGAATTAAGCTAAAAAGTCAGAGGTGCCACTATTACATGGAGTAGCACCCTACACAAGATACCAGCAGAACTGCTCACTGAGAAAGGCAGTTCCCAGCACAAGCAAGAAATGACAGAATCTGGCCTGAGTTTCTGGGAGCATAATGTTTGCCTGATTCTGTTTTAAGACCCAGAGACTTGGTGAGAACGGATTTTTTTGATCCCAGAGGAGTCACATTTCCATTTTATGACCAAATCAGATCGTCTTCTCTATGCATGCTGCATACGGGTTGGTTTTGTTTTTTAAACAGGAAGAAAGAGATCTTTACAGTGAGAGGGGAAATAATCAATGCCAGAGCATCTGAAATGTTTAATTGGAGAGGGCTTTATTTTCTGTTTAAGAGAATTGGAACTATATAGCTTGTTTGCACTGGACCAAAGCTGGGATTTTTTTCTGTTATTTTACTAAATATAAGCAATGCAATGTAACTGGAAACAATGACTTACAGTGTTTAACCACAAGTGGATAAAAAGAAGCTTGAGGAAAACAGCCTTCTCTCTAGACCGGAATCCCATATTACAGTCCCTCCTACAGAATGGCACTCATATCTCAATGATGGAGTGATCTCATGCTGGGATGATTAACACACAGCATCCTATGTACCTCTACACAGTTTAACTGGCTAGAGACCTTCCTACACTGTAACTACTGCCCAATAACCTCTTCTGTTTATCCTTACAACCAAAAGGCATCTTCAAGTTTTAAGTCAATGAAATGGCAGAGGTGGAGGGAGCTCCAGGTACCATCGTGCGGCAGGACATATGGACAGCTGCATGAAGGGTAGCTACAGGCAGGCACAAGAGACTGGCTGAACTGGACCAGCCTAGCTCTTTGCTTGGTGTCTTAAGGTCAATTTTTAAATAACTTTAACAGATCAGTTCTGCGAACAAATGAGCTGGCTGCAGACCAAATGCCATTTATTCTGTATTTTTTTTTTTTAAACAAATGTGCAGGGAAGCTGGGTGGGGATTTCATTCCATCCTAACGCCAGAGCTCACAAGTCAATTTTGCCACCATCAGTGCAGTACTGTAATAAATACTCTGTATCTTTAATAAGGTGGATATGAGAAGCATTGAAGTGTGACCTTTAGCATTGACACATCTCCTAAACTGAGGAATTGTCAATAAAAAACTCAAGCAGCTGTGGCATGCCAGAAAAATTTAACATTCTCTCTGCTCATGAAAGATGCTACTGTCTTATTTTGATTGCATTATCATCCTTGGCTAACCATGCATCTCTACAGGTGGAAAACATTGTGTCAGGTGCCACAGAAGGTATTGAGATATGAAATGAGCTTTTTTTTTTTAAACTGTATATGAAGTTCGTTCGGGAGAGTGCAGGGTTGGCGTAGATTTTTCCTTTCTTCCCCTTGCCCTTTCCTTTCTACGTTGTCACCAAGGCACTTCATTCTGTGCGGAGGATGATGTGGATCCCTGAATCTGTGAAAACTGGTCCGCTCATCTCGCCAGGCCTCAGCGCAAATGAGGCATCTTCAAAAGGTTTCTGCATCTGACCTGCAGAGAGCAGCAATGAGAAAGTTCAATTAAGCCAGGAAAGAGTCAGAGACCTCTCTGAACAAACCAGCCTCAAACAAACATGGCCTCCAGGCAAGCAGCAAAGTCACCAATTAATAACTGGCAGGGGGCATTCATTTCCGTCTGTTCCCTAAAGGCACTCCACACCATCTCTTACACTCATGACTCAGATACAGGGCTTTTGTTCAAACCCCGTAAACATTGCTGCTGCAAGGAAAAAGTGTTTCAGAAAGCAGGGAGACTCAAAGGCAGAGGAAATTGGTTCAGCAAATTCACTGGCACAAGTGATGTCAGTCTTTCCATCTCGGATGCCCTTAAGGCACACTGAGGGGTGAGATGTGGTGTGCATTACAAGTTGCACTAAATAATTTACACGGCACGCGTGGGTAATGTCATGACCTAGATAAAGAGCACACTTACTGCTTAGGTCTCCAAGTCACCGAATTCCTGGCAGTTTAGCAACTGAGGCTTTAGGAAGCCAGATGTGATGCTAGGCTGGCCCCTGTGCAAGGAATACCAAGCAGGAAAACTAAAGCAATTCTGCAGCAGGCCAGAAAGAACAGGCAGCGATAAGTGTTCAGTCAGAATGTGAGCCAAGAAGGAAGCAACCTGTCTGCTAGAAAGGGTTCAAGAGGAACAGGATCTTGGTCCAATTTACTTCAACCAGAAGTTAGAGCAGAGAAACTGCTGCAGCAATGAGGTGTGGCTGCTCCCAGCATGTCTGTCTTGTGGGACACGCACCAAATGCTTCAGCAGAAGGATGAACTGCTGGTCAGAAGGGACCAAGCAGCAATGAAGCCTCATGGCCCGTACAGAGCCATTGCTCCCTGTGCTTCACACTGCTGGCATTTGCCTTGAGACGCCTGAAAAGATACAGATCAGCCTCTTGCCAAAAAGACAGTATAAATCTCCTGTAAGTTTATGACCCTTGTCTCAGAGTTTCAAGACAGTGCTGCAGCTCTGGACTCTACCGCACATTAGAAGATGGCTACAGAAAGCTCATAGACAGCGTGACGGATGGATTGTCGACAGACTCCTTTTTTTCCCAAGCAGACATTTCAGTGATATACTAATCTCTTCAGGAACTAAAGCTTTCCAGCCGCTGCACAAGGCACACATCCTAGATGCAGCACATGTAGCAGAGGAGCTGCTCTGGAATTTATATTTTACTTTAGGCACTAAATCCATCCATACCCATTTCTCTAGCAAGGCAGCAAGATACCATGAAGGCTCAATTCCTCCCTTTCTGGATTAGTCCTAATAGCTTCAGCTAGATATTTTCCCCTTCACAGAAAGCTCAGTTTACTGCTGAAGGGACTTGATATATAGGATTTTCCAGAGTTCTGCTTTGCCCCTTAATTTTGTAGTTCGATTAATTGGTAGGAAAGGCAGAATGCTCGCCTGTCCCACTTATTTTCATTATAAGACCAGCTGCACTTGCTGCTCTGACTGAGAACTGCACAGTAAAAACCCTTCCCCTTCAGATTGTATTTTATTTCTGGTAGTAGCCCAGTATTTTTATTTCAGACAAGGAAATAGCTTCTCTGCTGCACCAGAATAATCTTCCAAAAAGCAGAAGTGTCAATTACTTGCAGTTTTTCAAGAAGATAAATTGGAATGTTTTATCAGTTTCACCTCTAAAGTAACCAGGACTCATAGATCTAATAAATTATGTTTGCGGCCCAATGAGAGCAGAGGCAGAGATAGAGACTGAGCATGACATCTCGAAAGCAGAGCAGCCACTCGTAGTTTTAGTGTCATCTAGTGGAGACAGGTTCTTGCAACATTTCTTTGCTTTTTGCTTAAATCAGGAGAAATCTCTTTCCATAAGTCAAGAAGGACCACAATGAACTGACAGTTTCCAAATGAACCCAAAATAGCAGTCACAGCAACCCAAGATTAATGGGTGTTTCATTGTATAAGAATCCATAAAATGCCATTGTGCAAGGGACTCTCTAAAAGGAAGTATTTTTTTCCTCAAATATCATTTGACTGGGGTACAAATTAAATCCCTAAGTATAACAGCAATTAAAAACAATATCTCAGTGGGAAGGGGAAACCCCAAAATCAAGAATTAGGTTTCTGAAGACAGCTTCAGTCACTACAATCTGGGGGCTACCTGAAGCCAGACTTGGTTACTCAGAAGGTGCCTTCCAACCCTGACTCTGAGGCAGTCACTCACGTCTATTTTAACCCCTTTAATGAGGCATTTTCTCCTGTGCTACCCTGGACCCTTTTGCATTTGTATTACCAATTATGCAGTGTCCTGTGCACTGTCTGCCATTCCAACATCCTTGTATAACTCTGGAGGAGATTCCCACAGCAAGATTTGCACTCTTGCTACCAGGCAGGAATCTAAAATGCTCCTCATCCCACTAGCCCTGAAAATAAGCTTGAAGTGAGGTCCCCACCACTCTAAATGCAGTGGATCCCTTCTCACCATTTCAGTCTGTAGACAGCTCTACCTAGACTCTGCTCTTTTGGGTCTGTTTCCAGCTCCTATGACTTAAGGGCACAGGTTTTCAAGAGACAAAAAATGCCATATTTGACTACAGATTTGTAGACTTACTCCAGTTAAAATGTGCAAGGCAGGCACCAGTCACTTACATACTTTTTGATTCATTCTTTTAAGCTACTGTAGCTATATCTGCATAATCTCATTACTTTGTTCTACTCATTAGACAATGAAGCTGTGTGCCACACCAAACAGTCAAATGATTTGAGAATCGCTGTCCCACAGTTGCTTAGTCTCCTTTCTAAATTTCAAACAACACTTTGTTTCATGTGCCCTAACAAGTCCCCTGTTAATAAGCACACACTGAGAGAAGTTTCTTGCAATCATTCCCTTGCAATGCAGATCAGCAATTCTGTAATGAATTCCCTCACCAACAACATTATTGTGGGTTGGCTATGAATTGTACCCACTTTCACAATTTGTTAATAGCTTCCTCATTTAAGATTATAGCATTTAATTATTTATCTGGTTTGCTATTAGCAAAATTTACCCATTTCCTCTTTATTCATGGTCTGCTACACTAAGCAACTGGGTTTCTATTCACTGTGGCTAGAAAAAAAAATCTTTTTTCTAAAAGAAAAAGCCAATTTCATAAAGGACGTTTGTGTAACATCCTCTCTGCCTAGAATAATATTGTGGCGGCATTCTTAATTGGTTTAACTTCTAAGCAGCAAACTACATTTTCTGCACAGCAGGCTACCTAACGCACAAATCCATTTTCACATTCATTCCTCAGCAGAGGGACATATTATTAATCCCCACCCCCTGCTAGCAAAGTCAGCATCGGCCCTGTAATCTCAGTCTTGTATATGTAAGGCCATACCCAAGCCAGACCTACCTCTCCCAAAAGCACCCAGGTCGCCTCCTGCTTTCGCTGAGCTGCAGTCACTGAATTGGGAAGCCAGAGATTCAAAGTCCTCTTCTCCCGATTTAATCTTCTGGATGTAGCCTGTTGACAGAGACAGCATTTAGCCATTAGAGCAAAGAACAGGGTCAAGGGAGGGGAATGTTTATAAAAAGAAGGGAGGACAAATTTAAAAAGGAATATTCATTACTGAGGAGTGTTTCAAAGGTGCTGCTTTTGCTCTGCATGGCATCTCAGAGACCTCTTTGTCCCAGCACCCTTCAACAAGAGGCAGAAAACACCACTGCAGAAGTGCCACGGATCCAAGGAATTAGCACAGCAGCTCAAGGTTTTCCTCTTCCATTGCTTTTACTGCCAAACAGCGGCCTGCTGCTGCACAGAGCCACAGCCAAGCTGTGCATGCCAGTATGACTCTGCCACCTAGCGTGTTTGCATTACAATGTAGCTGATCACATAATTAACATTTCACAGATGATCTAGAAGTGCCTTTTACTGGCTGCACTGTGCACTCCAGACAAGCCCCTGACAGTCATTTATCAGACATGCCACAAACAGGGTTTCAGTAGAGTTACTTCCCCAATTTCACTCACTGTGCCCCAGTTCTACAACTGGCAGCTACTGGACCCATCTCCCAGCAACTCTCACCTCAGATGCCTTTTCACTACTCAGCCAAGCATGTACAGCTGTCTACATTGCAAAGTGCAGCGCACACGAGAAGTGAAGCTTTCAAAGCACTTGATTTAAATCAAGTCAAAATTAACTTCCATCACAACACTCAAAAGCACTTCTCATCAAGTGTTTTTTTTCCCAAGCACATTCCAATCTTCTTCATGTCCAGCCATTTCACTGCAAGCTGTTCACTACAAGGAGGGCTGCTCTTTTAAGTGTACAAACTCATGGCTCTCCTTCAAAAGCCAAGAATGTGTGTTCAAAAAGAGGAAGAAAAGAGGCCAAGCATAAAATTTTCAGCTAAATAAGCAAAAAATTGAGAAAGATGTGGGGCCTTTAAAATATCTGCACACACTTTATTTTACTATGTAGCTTAGTACTGCCAGCACCTACATCAATTTGCCCTTCTATCCATGAAACAAGAAAAACTAGAACTCTCTTCATCTTTCAGATCACTCCTTCAGACCGGCCTCTTAACAGTGTTTGACCGACTTCAGAGGGTGCAGGCTGCCAACGTGGGGCATCAACAGCATTTAGTTAAAGACAAGCAGAACACCCAGTTTCAGACACATCTCTGAATATTGCCACAACAGCCTGTATTTAATGGCTCCGAAATCATTAAATTTTCATTTTCATACTCACACCCTGAGCAAAGGGTGTGAGTATGAAAAGCTTAGAGCAGTAGTTCTCAATCCTTTTAATGAGGCGTGCCCTTTGTTTAAACTCAAGCACCCCCTTCCTCAGAAAATGGCAGCTCTTAGCTTTCACTCTTTTTTGACTTCAGAAAAAGAATAGAATAGTTCTTGTTAGAGAGAATAGTTAGAGGGAGGTTCAGGCTGAACATCAGGAGGCATTACTTTAGTTAGGGCTGCCAGGCTCTGGAATGGGCTCCCAAGAGAGGTGGTACTCTCTCCTACCTTGGGGTCTTCAAGAAGAACCTGGATGTATATTTGGCTGGGGTGATATGACCCCGGCACCCACTCCTGCCTGGGGCAGGGGGTCAGATCTGATGATCTGTTTAGGTCCATTCTGACCCTAAGCACTAGGACTATGATTTCTGCAAAGAGCTCAGGAAGGCCACACCAGGGCAGGGATGTTTTTGACATCATGAATTCCTGTTTGTAATCTCCAGGTTTACTTTGTGAATTGCATGCACATGTTTGTATATCTAGCAGTGCTAATAGTGTACAGCATCCTTTAAGGGGATCTCCCAGTACCCTAGTTAGAAAAAAGAAAGGAAGACTGCTTTAGACCGTGTATAGTTCTGCTGAGCACTCAGTCACTGGAAATCAGAGGCACTGGAAGCAATAACGTCTCACTAGGCTCAGCCTAGCGCTTTCCTCCAATGACTCCTCAAAATGGACTGCCAATATTTCCACCAGGAAAACTACTGCACACATTACCTGGGCAGTCCAGTACTATCCTTTAAGTGCTGGGTTTATTTCCCTTCTGAGCCACACACTCCCAGGGCTGGGTCTCCCGGGTGTCACTCCCCACTTCCATACAATGAAGACAGCAGCACTGCCCGACTTCTGGGACAAGCAATGCTCACAAAAGTAACAGCAACCAAGCAAGCTAAGGTTCAGATCAAAGAAGCCTGACTTTCCCCAGTTTTAAAGTACAGTCCCCTCTTTCATCTCTGAAGAGAATCATTGAAGGCAGCAGCTGCTATGTAAAGGGAAGTGCAGCACTTCAGATGGGCGCTAACACCTGGTGAAGTCTTCAGAACTATATGGCAAGCTGCACATGGAAGTTAGATGACTGCTAGTTTTCTTAAAGCTCTCCAAGTACCGGATGTTGTTTAGCCTTCCAGTATCAGAAGCTGAATTTCCCAGTGAAGGTAACTTATCTGAGCAATGTAGACTGAGCATATGGACTCCTCTCACAAGGTGGGCACCTGGACACTAAATTTCAGGACGGTTATGTTCACTGCCCAAATACAACAAGTGGAAAACCCCTATCTGAGCATGTATGTGCACAGTCACCTGACATACTTTGAATGCATTTGGGGATGTTCAGAGTGGAAGAGGGCAGCCTTAGAAGTGATGAAGTTGGAGGAGAGAACAAGAGTTTCCAAGCTGGTTTCAGTGCCACTTACTCCTAAGCATGGCTCTAGAAGTGCTCCTGCATCAGTAAGTATTTTCACAGTTTAACTGCACTGACAAAGAAAACAAATGCCACTGTGATTTCTTTGATATGGAACTGTACACGGAAGCATGCACGGCATTTTCCAGAGCCTGTCAGGGGATGGGCAGCTTAAAGACCAACTCAACAGGTCACATGCACAACCAACCAGCCAACCCACTATACAAGATCAAAATTGGAGGGATGATGGAAGAAACTGGTGGTGA